TTTGGCGGTTTTTGAGTGCCGCCAATCTACACTTAAAATGTTTGCGACAAATCATAAAATAAAACACTTTGGATAATGGTCAATTGGATATCAGTGGAAAATGGACTGATATGGAGTTTAGCATAGATTCAAAACAATCTCTATTTTCTTTCACCTGATGCTGTAGCCATATAAACTCTAATGAATAAGATTCCAAGTGAAATAACATTTCCAAAACGTACGTTTACTAAGATAAAGTTTCATGTCATGGGAATTGGTACATTTTCGTTTTTTGAGGTAAAATATTTCGCTCCTGAAAAAATAAAAATCCGTCTTGTATTGTTTTTGGCAAATCCCAAAGGCGCATTTTCGTAGTACTGAAAAATGCCGTCAAAAAAGAATTATTTTTTTTTTCGTAAGCATTCTTTATTTTACGTTTTTTAGTTTTTGAATAATGATTTTTATTTAAACTTAAAATTTTTGATATAAATTGTTGTCAAAATTAAATTATATACAAAATTAAATTATATAAAATTATGAGGCTTTATGTCCTACTTTCTGTTCATTTTAATTTTTGAAGTAATATGATTCTTAAAACTATGGATTGTAAAGTTTAAATGGGCCTTTCATGTTATATTATTAAATTCATTAAATTTAGTGAAACTATTCTTTAGGTATTTGGTTTTAACTATAATAAGAATATACATATTTTATTCTGTTTAATTACAAATATTTTACCGATGTGTTTTGGATGTTCCTTCTCTGAAAAAGAAAAGAGATAAAATATTGTTTTCGTTTGCATAAGAGAGAATATAAAGCATTTTTCTTTTTTAAATTTATTAAGCCACAATAAAGAAGGAACGTTACAATGTTACACGCTAAATTAAGGACGTCTCCAGAGTAACTGAATGACTGTTCATATAGAAATCGCAGGTATTCGTCTTATACAACAACACCCCCTATAGTTCGTTGCGATCGCGAATTGAGAAAACTGTTTAATAAAAATAAAGGCAAAAGCAAATTTCACTTAAATTGCACGTTTTCAATAATTATTTATATTTAGTGGTACTTGAAAACCGCCAAATCTGTAGCTGCGGTGGCTTTAATACATAAGTACCGAATTTTTATTCCAAACTTTTCTGAATCATATTACTTCAAACATTAGAATATGCAAGAAGTATACATAAACACATAATGTTATACCATTTATGTTCTCAAAAAAAGTATTTTGACAACAATTTTTATCTAAAAATCTGAAACTAAAAAACGTAAAACAAAGAATTCTTAGGATAAAAAAATGATTTTCAAAATTCCTCATATTGAAATAAAAAACTTTCATATTGTTTCTTTTTTTCATTCTTATAGTTCTTAATCAGACGAAAAAAACCATTCTGTAGAGAACTATCATCAAATAAGAAAAAAATTATTTACAAGCTAATTTTTATTATAAAAATCGTAACACTTACTTTCTTTATAAATCCGCAGAATTCCAAATGAAATGTTCTTCGTTTGAAAATTTTATTTTCAAATAATATATACATAGATTATCCCTTTATTACTTTTAGATAACATACCACATATCAAAAATTTACAATTGTAAGATCTCGATATGAATTTGAATATGTAGCTTAAAAACAGAACAGCTGAATTCTAGTTGAAATTATTCTTTCAAAACTAAAAAATACTTACCAAGAAAAAGATAAGAAATTTATTAATCATCAGCACAAATGACACTATTTCAAGTAATTTGGATGATTTTTTATTGTTGTTTTCCGAATTATATAGACACTGAAATATATACTGTTCCATAACGAAGAAGAATTTGCATTTATTTATTGGAATGACGAAAGCAATGTTGACTTCACTTTAATTTGTAGAGAATTGACGACAGAAAAAATTATTTTACCGTAATACAAACATCTGTAACAGCAGGTGATCATGAAATTGGTAATAAAAGGGTAAAAATTATTTAGAAATTGTTCTTCAAATGCTTGGCATGCTGTCTTTTTTCTATCTGTCTCGTCTTCCAACCTTAACCATTAACCGATAAATACCCTTTTAGGGGCATAGGCGCGGGGTTAAATGTTGGTGTGTGTGTGTGTTTAGTTTTTTCAAGTTCTTCTACCTTTTCCTTAGGGAAATTTTGCTTCTTATTTGCTGCTAAGAAAATGACGTCCGTCATTGCCAATGGTTATGAGGAAACTAATGCCTGATATTTTCAGGTTCCCGCTAGAGGGCGTACTTGAGCGTTGTGATCGCGAATTATTCGTCGCATCACGGATTTAGTATTGTGAAAACTGTTTAATAAAAAAAAAGGCAAAAGCAAATTTCATTCAAATTGCACGTTTTCAATAATTATTGATATTTAGTATGCAATTTTACTGCTGGCCACCACAAAGGAAAATACAATGCACCAATATTGGATGAGGTGGCTATTGTTATAGTTGGCGACGAATTTACTTTCCGCGATATAGTTCTTCATCGTAAAAATGGTGATGTTCAAAGAGTCTCAGAAACGCATCGATCCTATGATGCATTGCAATATCCTATTTTATTAAATCACTCCATGCCAAATTGGTCAGCTCAGATCAGCATAAATACCTGATATCGCCATTAATCAGACTTATTTCAGATCATCCTCCAAAATATGTTTCATGGTCCGTGTGCATCACCTGTTTGAAAATGCCCTGACGATATCCTAGAGAATTAACTGCTGAGACTATCACGGTTTTTACACCATTAAATAAAATTCTCATTTCAAATTATAATCGCAAATCTCATTTGCACACTTAAATACAAAATTAAAATTCAAACTGAAAGCGTTGCAACGCACGCAGGGTACAGCTAGTATAATTATAAATATTCGTCTAAATAATTGTCATAAGATCAAAAATTTTGTTTCCTTTTCACCTTGAAAGGGCTATTAACTTTTAATTAATCGAGTCTGGTAAATTTTTTTGACTCCTGCAAAATTTTCTTGAATTGACAAACCACTACTCTCTGTACAAATCTTGAATTGAAATATATTATACAATTTTTTAAATACTGTGTTTACGGCCTACTTAAGCCATTGTAAAATATGAAATTTTTCTGTAAGATGAGTAAAAAGGCTTAGGAATGTATCATAGTTATTGACTTTTGTAACTCGAAACTTGAAAATTAACGTTTTCGTACATGATAGTTTTCTAAATGTTGAAGCATTCCCGGAACAATATGTTGTAGGCCAGAGGAGGCTTCACAATTTCGTGACCAACAGACCAATCTAAATATTGCCCTTATATAAAATCAAAACCAAATTTTAATACTATAGATACTGGATCAATATCTGGCTTTTGATTAAAACAATTAAATCATTTAAAGTTTAAAAAGCGAAAAAAACATTAAGAAAATTTCATTAAAATTAAATATGACTAAAATATATTTTCCTCAAAAATAAGAGATAAACTATTTTAATATAAATGCCAAGTTTATGAAGAAATTAACCATTTTTATCAGGTTCATTAGTATTATATGTAAATATACGAAATTGTTTGAAAAAGAACAAAAACTAAAGACAATTTTTTGAAGTTTACTTAACAATTTTTGTAACTTGCGACACAAACACAAAAAATTGAATAAAAAACGATAAAATAATTTCAGAGAACTGCCAGTTTCATTACGAATGCATACAAATTGTTTGCGCACTCACACCTTATTTTATTTAATTTTTTTAAAAGATTTTTCAGCAACTTCTTTGCACAGTTCATTGCAAATTATCGAAACAAGTTAGATCCATGATTTGTATTGGATATATTTTTCCTAAAGAGTATATATGAAACCCATTGAAGTTGCCCCTAAATAAACGATTCCAACGATTGTTAGTTTCAAACGGAAATATATTAGAATTGCAGACCAATGACTGAACTTAAACTGAGCGTTAATTATTTTAATCCGAATGAATGAGAAAAACATATGTGTTTCGATCATAGGTAACAATAATTATTGCTTATTGATTTCAGGTAAAAAAATCTACGAAGTCTTGCATTCAATAATTTATTGATAATATATTCAGGAAATGCAAAAGCTGAAGTATTTAGAATAAATGATCGAAGCCTATAATAAGCGTCGTACGTAAGACTTCTGGTTTTCTTTATTTCATTTCAATTAATTAATTAATTAAGAAATCTATAGGATACAAAAATCATTTGAATTTCAAGATTTCGATACTGCAAATACCAAAAGAAGGGTTATCTCTGTTCTAGAGATAAATAAGTGGAAAAGAAAATAATAGGCAAAAACAAATATAGTTGTTCGGTTCTTGCTTAAAGTACTGAATTTCTTTTAAGAATTGATTTTTAATTCATTGAATGAATCTATTGACTGAATGTATTAAAAGTGTTGCCATTAAACGAATTTACTCTAAGTTCAATAGATAAAATATTATCGTTTTGAAAATAGCTGAAGATTTTCTGGATACGAATTATATTCATTAAATATATAGCTGTCTTAATTGTAAAACAAACGAAAGTAGAAATTATTTGTAATTCAATGAAATATTGGCATGATTTTTCATGAAAAAATATGTTTGCACACTTCGTTTCAATACAGTTGCTTAATTTTAATGGAAGTGGTACAAAATAAATGCAAAAAAAAAAAGTTATTTCTTGAAAATGTTTAGTTGCGTGTCGTTTCATCATTGCGTGTTGTCGCATTATTGTTTGGCCAAATTGGATGAGAAATATTGTTTTGAAGAAAAAGTTATTTCTATTTCATTGTTTTTTAACGTTAAAAAAAATATTTTTCGATGAATTCAAGTAGTGAAGAGATAATTCATCGAATTATATATATTTCGGTAGTCTATGTAAGCGCTATAAAGGTAGTAGCTTAGCTTTTAGATAGGTACTCTATATAAGTGTTATTATTTTTTTAAATTTACTTTAAAAGTAATAAAAAAAATTTCCGGAAAAAGTTTTTTAAAACATGAAGACATTTCATTTTCAATGCAGATAGTCAACGAAATAAGGCTAACAGATGTTACATACCTGTCTTTGGCACCTTCCCTTGTCAAAGGAGGAATGAGGAATGAGGAGCTAGCTCTTAAAAAATGCTCATCCACTCCATTGGATACTTGTTTATCGTTGTCATGGCAGCACTCACTGAGACGGCATTCTAACTTCCATTTTTAGAAATCTAACGCAGTTTTTTTTAAGTCAAGCAAAGCATTTTGATAATTTCATTTTTTTTAATCCTCATTACTTAAACTTTACTCATTTACGTATTGTGATGATCATAATTTAAAAAAAAAATGATTTTGCAACATAAGTTTATCAACGCCATTATTTGATGGTCAACACATCAGTGAACGCTATTACAATTTTATTATGGCTATCTGTTTAAAAAAATAACAGATGTGTCCAATAATTACTCTCGATAAAAGTGAAACTTACGTTTTTTTTATGTTCACTGTTCTGTGTCATATTCAATAAGCTAAGATAAATATATTGGAATTTGTAAAGGTTTACACAACTATGTTCTAATTCTAAAGCATGGCGATCTTTCTACAATAAAACATCTTCCTATCCCAAAAAAGGTGTTGAATTCAGGTTGTTGTAGTTCATGTCAGTCAGAGTTGAAATTTTGATTCAATGGGTAAAATTGCTGAATATTTGTATGTAGTGGTAATATTTATACGTTAACAAAACGTTATTTAAAATTTTAAGTGTGCTATAAAATGTTTAATAGTTGTTTATGGCTCTTTAAATATTGCAGTCTTCAATCATATATTATATTTCATAAGGAAGGATAGACACTGAATGTTTAAAAAATTTCGTTCTTCATTTTTTTTTTATTATACACAGCCATGATTTGAAAATCCATCCCATATAGTTCAAAATAATCCAGAGGATGACGTCATCGCATGTGATCCAAGGACCATAGGGTCATTATGTAGACGTCTACAAGACATCCATATCTGATCCATTAGAAGTCTAAAAGCCGTCCATCAGACATGCACCATGGCTTTTACATGGATGGATCCACTGCTTATCCAGGGACGGACATTCCATAGACAGGAATTATTCTTGATCTGCTGGAAGATGGACCTTTGTATATATATAAACTCTATAATTTAGTATTTCGCATTTTTACGCCCTCAATGGATGTAAGAGTGTAAAAATCAAATTAAAAATTTTTAATGTGTTTTTTTTTTAATTTTTACATCACTTGAGGACATACAAATGCTAAATACTAAATTGCAGAGTTTATATATGAACGATATACAAAGGGTATGTTCGTTTAATATCTTCACTTAAACTTTCTTAAAACTTTTCTGTTATACTTCAGCAAATGCGCTTTGTTCTCTTTCTCTATGAAAATCGAATGTTTAAGATGATTTATAACATTCTTCAGCAACCTAACTACTAACCGAATGAAAAAAAAATCATCTCAATTACTAGATTTTTGAAATCAAAGTGTGCATTTAAATCATAAATCTGATGCAATTAGCATTTACATTTGTTTTAAATCATGAATTTTGTTTTAGTTAAATATATGCATATATATATATATATGCGGTTTGAGTTAAATCAGTAAAAATCGCTTATATGATGATATTGATTATTTGAATAATGGCTATTTGTTTACTTATTGACTATTTGATTTAATGAATAAATACGTTAGTATTTGATAAAAACTTTCAGCATTTGGTCGATTGTCTAAGCTGAATTTAATAAAATTAGTGAGTGTAATTAACTTAATGCGATCATAATTTTAGAAGTAATCTATTTTAAAATTAAATTAAAAATTAAGAGCCAGCGAAAATCCCTGATTTTAAAACTACAACACAGTGAAACTTTATGCAACATAAAATATTTTATTATAAAAAATACACATTACTGACTTGAACTTCCACATATTTATTTTTACTCATTACCATGGGGAACAACATGGATGCATACTTAGCTGTGGTTACGACTCCACCGCATGCATGATTGCAATCGTTTTGGAGGACAAGAGAGAGAGAAGATCTCTCACATAAAACTTAAATCAATAGCTCCTCTCTTCCAAATCAACTTTTAATTTGGCCTATAAGTTTTTGATACGCACATTTCATCTCTACACGATGTAAAACATTTTATCAACTAACATCTCAGCAAATAGTTCCTTTTACCATGGCTTGTGATAGATATGAAAATTTATCATGATTATCCAAATTGAGATCCTTATCAATTTTTTAAAATAGCTTTCAAACATATAAACAGTTCCTAATATCTACATAAGAAACGGGAAGTAGCATATTAGGATAAGGTAGCAGCGAATTTTCTTGACAAAGCATTCTCACCAAATACAGAATCTTTTATCTCAGAACTTGCTAATTTTATAAGCGTCTGTTTTAAAAGACGCCAATGATCAATATATGTTTCCGATTTATAAAATTCAGCCTCGCATGTTGCGTTATAAACTTCAGTATCATTAAGATTGTATCTGATTTTCCGTTCAGTGTCTAGTAATCAGTTTGCCTTTTGTTTAATTTGTTTAATTAACATTCATTACTGTTTAAATTAGGTTCGTCTTTATCAAAATCATTGCAAGCTTTCGAGAATTATCTTCGATATTAAGTTCGAGATCTGACTACGAAAATAGGCAAACAATGACGAATTGGCGATAAACACTTAACAAGTATAATTTCGAGAAAATAACTCAATGGAATGGTATATTTGTTCAAATAAATTACAGTAGGAAATTACACATTTATCACATTAAACTTAAAAAATACTTGGAGTTAGTAGTATAATAACCTACACATAATATTAAAATTTTTAGAGCACCAAAAACAATCATTACTATGGAAACTAAAAAGAAATTACATTTTATGCGAATGTAGAAAAAAAGGTCTCAATTTCTAACATCAACTTTCATTCTTAATTCATAATTAATTGCATAGTATTTATTAAATGTGTTTATTCATCAAGCTATTTATTTCGTTTCAATTCTACGTCTAATTTTTGACTACGAGAAACAATCCGAGAGACGTTTCTTGATAGTTGTTTTGTAAACTATCAAGAAACGTCGCCTAATGTCCACCGTGTGTTTTATCCCCATTACGTCTACCAGTTATAGATAAGACGTCTATATTTAAGCCATTGGGGATTATCCACAAATAAGCTATTAGAAAACGTCTCCTAGACGTCGATATTTCATCCAAGACGTCTAATGGATCATGAGGACGAATTCTGGACGTCTAACGGATGAATTGTGCTGTATGGGATGGATTAAGGTTTGACGGTTTATGGACTGTTATGGATCGTTTTTGAGAAAAATTAAGATTTATCAGGAAAATTTTAAATGTTAGTCTTATTTGACTGAACAACATTTATTATAAAGGTGGATTAAGTAACGGCCTCTGAATGTTGTTTGAATGGAACACTGATTCTCAACGGGGGCGATACCGCCCCCTGGGGGGCAGTGAACATATGCTGAGAGGCGGTGAGCTTGTTTTGGGCAGAAGGGGGCGGTAGGTATGTTTTGGGCGGTAGGGGGGCGATGATCATTCAAATTCATTTTTAAAACTTCTAAATAAAATTATTAAATTAAAACTAATTTAATAAATTAAGTAAATCAAAAATTAATATTAATGAAAAATAATTAAATTAATATAATAAATTAAAATTATTCGATACACCATTTGTACCAGCAGTAAAACGAACTTACGTGACAACTATTCTCCAATCCGAACTATCGCAGGGCATGAGTTAATTGTTTTTGCTTCTGACTTATTCAAGCCATTTGGCGAAAAGTGAAGTGCATGTGCTTTCAGTATGAATGTTTGATTTGATCCGTGTTTCTTATGATGGTTTTCGTTCGCTCCCTTTCAGTTTTCTCCCCAGTTTTGATTCAATTTCATTGATTATTTGACCAGTTACTTGCGCGAATTTGTTCTTCAGCGTAAATTATCTATTGATTTTAAGATATAGTTTATTTTCTTTCCTCGTATGTATTTTGCTGCTGCCTACAATGTCGGTTAATAAAAAAAGTGTCCACAATACAGTGCCACGTACTTGAAGTTCGGATTCGGAACGATACAGTGTTGCACCGGATTGATGAGATGACTGAAGACATTGAAGTTTACTTATGCAAACTTTTGATGTCCAACGTATTTCCCTTCAAGTTAATGAGTCAACCTTGCCAAGTAATGAGGCTTTACTGTTGACGTACTTCCGATTTATGAATGAATGAAAAATTATTCAAGAGATGCTTTTTGCAAAAAACCTGATTGAAGATACCGAAGGTAAATCTATTTTTTATACAGTCAAAGATTATTTTATAGAGAAAAACATTCCTCCTTCGAATATTGTGTCTGTTGCCACTGATGGAGCTACTACAATGGTTGGTTGACATCGTAGGTTTAACCCCATTTTGAAGAGGGAGGTACCCCTCCCAAGACAAAGATACCTAGAAAACTCCTCCAATAATTGATGGCCAAGTACCAGATATTTTAGCTGTCCACTGCGTGATTCACAGACTGCATTTAGTCGGAAAAAATACCAGAGACCATTTGCATCAGTCGTTGAAATATGTCGATCTCTGCTGTGATGAAAATTCGCAGTAATACTCTCAACGATTGATTATTCAGAGAGCTGTGCAAGAAAAACGATGAAAAATTCAATTGCTTGCTACTACACACTGAGATTCGCAGGCTTTCCAAAAACGCCTGTCTCAATAGGTTTTGGAATATTTTCGACTCTGTGCTTGAGTTCCTTGAATGCATGACGGATTTATTCGTAAAATTTAATGGTGTTAATTTACAATTTCAAGGCGACGAGCTCAATTTGATCACTACAAAATCAGCTATTTCTGCTTTTCAAAGAAAACTCATTTTGTGGAAGCAGAATTTTGGTAGGAATAAGTTTAGTCAACTTCCGATCTTATCGGAATAAAGAATGGTGAAATTCTCTCTGATGATGCACAAGAATATTGTAAATAACCTTGAGTCTTTGTACATTGAATTTTCTGACATTTTAAAGATATTTTGTCCCTGGAAGTCCCTTAATGGGTTACGAACTCTT